TATGGGGTTTACATTTCTGCAGCTGTTGTACGTGCAGCAATCAAATACTTGCCATATATATGTGAAAACATTAAATGCAGGGAATTATAACCTTACAAAAGATGAAAGCATTAAATGTAGGGAATCATAACCATACACATGTTGTTGTTGTACGTAAAGCGGCTGCAGAAATGATTTTACCTATATAAATGGGTAAAGAATTTCTCCAGTCAATGGAGATAAGTTATCTCCGCTGAGCCCAAAACGACGTCGATTTGGGGCAGAAATCAAAGTATTTTTGTAATTATAATATATTGCAGGGTTATATTAGTCTTTATAATTATCATTTTTTAATCTTATAACCCCAAAACGATATCGTTTTGAGCTCACTCGAGATAATTTTATATCCAGTGACTGGAGAAATATTTTTCTCATATATATATATATCTATATATGGGATAGGATTTAGACATCGGTGTTAAACTGTAAAATTTGACACAAAATCTTAATCGTTGATTTCCGTCAATCAACGGTTATTATTAATTAATAAATTTGATTTCCAATAAATTATAATTGTTAATTGACGAAAATTAATGATTAGAATTTAAATTAATGGTTAGAATTTGGTATTAAATTTTTTTTTATTTTTATATATATATATATATATATATATATATATATATATATAGGCCTTAACATTTCTGCAGCTGCCGTAGACAGCGTTATCTGCAGTTGACACAGAAAAGTGGGCCCCACAGCTTTTTAATAAAGAAAAACAGGATCCGACAGCGGATCCTGGCTTGCTGTAGGTGCAGCGGCTGCAGAAATCATTTTGTCATATATATATATATATATATGAGACAGGATATTCTTACACCGGTTTAAGAGTTAGAAGTCTTACACTCAATCTTGACCATTGATCCACTTGTATTCAATGGCTCACATTACTAAAAAATTTGAGCCGTTAGATATAAATAGGATCAATGTATAAGATTGAGAGTGTAACTTACACTGGTGTAAAATGATCCTAACTCTATATATATATATATATATATATATATATATATATATATATATATATATATATATATTATATAGCAAGGATATCAAAGAAAACATTCACTTAATATTTGAAAAGCCATTTACTTTCTTTAATCTGTAATTTCATAATGACCATGAAAGCAAGTCAATCTGCTTAAAGACAATACATAAATGTACCCCCGGTAAAAAAAGATAATAAAATTTTCATATATACAAAAACAAGATGGGATGAGGAAACCAATAAAAACAAAAAGAAAACATGATGTTAAGTTCTTTGACAGTGAAAGCAATACAAAATGTTACTATTAATTTATCAAGTAATCCCCATCCTCACCCTTCAAGGTAATCATTATCTACTGCAATATATATATATATACAAAAAAAGTTATATAAGAACTGAATGAAAATTGAATATTAAATGTAGGAAAATAATACTCTTATGCTATATAAGAGTACATCATTTTTTTACACTAATTCGTTTTCTGTGCCAATTAATTTTTCTTTTCTTTTTTAATATAAAATATGGGACTCACATTTAACTTCTCTCTACTTTTTTTATCTCTTATAATCCTACAAGAAAACTTAAACCCTTAAATGTATCTTTGTCTAGGCCAAAGTCATCAATAGCCTCCAACCTTCACTAGTTGTCACAAAATGAATGTGCTATGATAATTTAGAGATGTTAAATATTTTGGAGCTGGGAACGACATACACAACTCACAAGTATGAAAAAGAAAAGAACTGAATCCCTACCCTTTGAAATTATGAAGACATTACCAAACAGTGGGAAAAAAAAGTTTTGCAAAGGCTCAGTAGTGGGGAAATAGGGATAGATTTATATATATTTTGAGAATATGAGCAAATTGATATATAATTTGGAAAATGATATACTTACTACCAAAAAAGTTTATCACCTTTACAACCAATTTAATCACCGTTGATTTCAGTCAATCTAACGGTTATAATTTATTGAGAATTATTGGAATTAATAATTAATTAATAAATGATAATTTCCAATAAATTATAATCGTTAGATTGACGGAAATCAACGATGATTAGGTTGGTTGTAAATGTGGTAAACTTTTTTGAGGATAAATATATCATGCCCCTATAATTTGATAAAAAAGGCAAAGTGATAATTTTTTATTAAAACGAGGGCAAAATAATCAATCAATCTAATTATGTAATTATCCTAATTTTTCGTAAATCTTATGTTAGTTATACTAAAACCTCTCATCTTAAGCGCTGTTTAAGTCCTCATGCATTATTTACCAAAAAAAAAAAAATCCTCATGCACCTTAAAATGCAATGTTATTTTCAATTTTACGATTATTATAAAATTCTTTATTCTTAATTCGAAACTAACAATTAAAATATTATATTTTCTTATATCTTCCCTTATTCAAAGAGATATAAGTCATCAATAATTATATATAATTAATGGGAAAAATGTTTGTCATTTTAAATTACATAAAGTTATGTCATTTTAAGAGAGAGATAGACACAAGAAAAATTTTTATTTAAATTTTAAATTAAAAAAAATTATCCACTTTCTCTCTCTCATGATTTCTATTTCTTGTGTCTATCTCTCTTTTTAAGTGACATAACTTATGTCATTTAAAATAACAAACATCAAACCCTTAATTAATTAACATAAAGATTTTTCGAATGTTACACATGTACGAGGATTTTGTTCTTTCACTAAAATCTAATAGGCTCTAGTGTATAAGACGAGCTCAAGAAAACTAAAGCTCATTCTGCTTAGGAATATGGTTTCTTGAAACTCATATATATATATATATATATATATATATATATATATATATATATATATATATATATATATATATATATAGCAGGATCCTTGGACCCCGGTGTCAAATTTAAAGTTTGACACCTCATCTAAGAGCCGTTAGATCAAAAAAGATCAACGACTCTGATTTGTAAACATGTGACACCATTGATCTTTTTTGATCTAATGGCTCTCAAATGAGGTGTCAAAGGATCCTACCTCATATATATATATATGAGAAAAATGAATTCCGAGAGAACAGAGTTATAATATTTACTATAATTGTGTTCTCGCGGGAGAACTTACTGCACTGGACCAAATTTTGTATCCAGTCACTGTACACTCACTAAACCCTATATATATGGGAAAAATATTTCACAAGCAGCTTGAGATAAGTTTATCTCTGGCTACCCCAAAACTACGTTGTTTTATTTATTTTTTTCTTTATATTAATTGATTCACCTTTGAATGGTTATAATTCTCTTTTTCTCTCTCTTCCTTTATCACCATTGATCCATCTTTATACGGTTATGATTTAGTATATCGTTTCTCAAGCTGCTTGAGATAATGTTATCTCCGGCTACTAAATCATAACCGTATAAAGATGGATCAATGGTGATAAAGGAAGAGATAGAAAAAGGGAATCATAACCATTCAAAGGTGAATCAATTAATATAAGGAAATAAATAAACAAAACTACGTAGTTTTGGAGTAGCTGGAGATAACATTGTCTTAAGCAAGAGAAATATTTTTCCCATATATATATTCTAAACTTATAGATTCTCTAGTCTTCACTTAGTAGTTGCAGAGGTTGAGATGAGTGAGAGAGTGCCCACACACTTCTCATTTTCTTTTGAGACATAGTTTGAAAGATCTGCCACTATCCAGCTTCAAGGATATTGTTCGTACTGCAGCGTTGAGGTGAACAGTTAAAAAAGAATATATATAAAAAGATTCTGCACGAAATCTGCGCACCTTGTAAACAATGATGATTATGAATTGCTAGTACAGATTTAACCTTTTTATATTTATAATAAGAGTTCGACTTATCGTGAAATTATGAGAAGTTATTAATATGAAGCAATTTGTCATCCTATTATGAAAGCTTCGTGGGTGTGCGTTATATATTCATATTATATAAGCGGTCAAAACATCGATTTTGCTATGCTAATTAGATGTTTTGATGGTTGGTTGAAGAGCCACATCTCATAAACCTTAAACAATTTTTTCTCTAAAAGATTATGAAGCAAGAATGTACAAAATTAAGTAGGTCAACAATATAATGAATCATAGTTTGTGAATAATCAAAGATCTCAATTTGTATTTAAGGTAGTTGTTAACTATTAATTATAATTAGTTAAACTTTAAATATTTATTATGAAATTATTAATTAATAGGTATCTGATAACTTACACTAAATATGTTACCCATTAACTATAGCAACTTCCCATATTTTTTTTTTAAGTGACAGCTAATGGGATGAATATCCATTCATTGTGTATTAAGTTTTTATTTATTTGGCAAGTCATTTTCTTCTGTTTTAGGCCTTTTCAACACTCTTTATAGCTACGAGATTGATTTGTTTAAGCATAGAATAATATAATTAAGTAATTCTAAAAAAAAAAGAATAATATAATTAAGCCTTTTCCACTACTCGAATTTTTATCTTCTTCCCTTGCCGCCAAACCCTTGTGGGATCTACTTTGCAACTATTAGCACTGTTCATATAGTTGAAATATTTATTGCTACAACAAAAGAGTAGGATATTCTAACAATTAATCAGGGTTACTACTAATGTTACTATTAATCAATTTTATCATTAGATCAATTATGTTGATTCAACGGTTATATTTATTTCTATCTTTGTATGATTATAATTTCATATTAAATATAGAAAATCACTAATCATATAAAGGTAGAAATAAATATAAAATAATTGTAATCATACGAAAATAAAAATAAATATAACATAATTGATCTAATGATAAAACTGATTGATAATAATATTAATAGTAACTGATGATTAAAATATCCTTTCCCAGAACAAAATTTCAATGTAATAAGAAAATTATCAATACGTGTACAGTTTTGTTGAATTTGTACGAGAGTCGTTACAAATTCATTTTGTGATACTGCTTTTGTCAGTTTTGGTTTAATTCCCACAAAAACAAACAAAGAGACATAAAAAAAACAAAGATTAAATCTATTGCCGTTGGATCGATCAATCTCGTATCTAATTTCCCAAATCCAAGGGTCGTCCTTTCTTTCTCTCTCAACTTCACATACGAGACAACCTCGGTTAAGGAACGTAGAGAGAGAGAGAGAGAGAGAGAGAGAGAGAGAGAGAGAGAGAACGAAGAAATCCACAGAAAGGTGTTTGATTTGCCGGAGTCTATCCTTCTCATCGATCCATGACCACCATCCCCATCTTCCTTCTCCTGTTTTTTTCTTCTTCTTCTTTTTCCTGATAAATTTTTTCCCGGAAAGTAAGGGAGAAGAGAGAGAGAAGAACAAACAGAGTTGGAGAGGGAAGAAGATTGAAAAAATTAAAAATAAAGGAGAAATGCCCAGGTAATTAAATTGGTGAAATTTTCGATTTTGATCACTGGGTATTTCTTCCTTTTCGGTTTCCTACACTGGATTTTGGTGAATCCATGGACTTGGACAGCATTGAGTGTGTGTCATCCTCTGATGGCATGGATGAGGATGAGATCCAACACCGTAGTTTGCATCCTCATCCCCATCATCACTCTGAGTTTTCTTCCACGAAGCATCGCAACGGCAGCGCTAATAACAATAATGTTATGGGTACTACGGCTATTACTCCGGCAACCAGCGTTCATGAGTTGCTGGAATGCCCTGTTTGCACCAATTCAATGTATCCTCCAATTCATCAGGTCAATCTCTTGCACCAATTTTCATCTTAGTTATGTTTTTGTCATATTTAATTTCACGTGTAATTGCATATTGGGGTTGTTTTTTTTGTTGTTTTTTTTTTTTTTTTTTTTTGGGGGGGGGGGGGGGGGGGGTGAGAAAAGGGTTTTCTTTGTTTTCTCTATATATTGTGACTTAATTGGCAAAGTTGATTGCTTTGGAGTGGGATTGAGTGGATTTGATGAATCCCATTTTTAGTATTTGATGGCTTTCTCTTGGGGTTGGGGAGTGAGGACATCTTGGATTTGGTTTTGGTGTTTAGATTTTTATTCCATTGGGGAAAACATTATGGATAAAAGAGCATGCTTGGTGAACCAGAATTGATGACACTTTGATAGATGAGTGTAGAATTATAACAATGCTTGCAATGGTAGTAAGGTGGAGTCAAGGAATTTGCCATGGTGTCGAATTTCAATCTCACCTTTGTTTTACGAAGAAATATTTGGGTTAAGGAAAGCTTCTTGTTGCAGTTTAACGTTTCCTTTTCTTCTAAATAAATTTTCAGTACTCTTGTAGTATATATTTCACCTAACTGCATTTGCTCCACCCACTTCTTCATTTTTAATGCTAAGTGAGTCCTTGTGTTTCTAACTTTAGTGGGTGTAGTATATATTACAGAATTACTGAAAATTTACTCCAGACCCATTGTGTGGGTATAGTAGTGTATCTATTGTCCATGTGATTCACTTAAATACCAGAAGTGCTTTAAAGCCTCCTTCCTTAAGCTACAACGTTAGTAAATGGGAAGATATCCTTGAAATCAAACAGAGGTGTATCATCCCTTTGAGAATAAGTGTGTTATGTGAGAGTTGTTTGGACTTAACAATAACTTCTTGTGGTCTCAAAAGCTGAGTACATTTTTCAATTTCCTGGATATAACTTCTCTATCTGTCGAATCAAGGGAATATTGTGTGTGGCTTGGAACTTGAATTAGTACCAATAGATTTGCTGAGGTTTATGATCATATGTCTTGGTCCTTCCACTTCTCAATCTTTTTGTCTGTATTTGGAGCATATTTTATGTGTCTTAATTCTAAGCCTTAAAGGTAGAATCTCCTTGATATTTTCCCCTTCAATTACCAAATTATTGTTGTTCATTCCTGTCTTTCTGTTCATTTTGTTTTGGGAAGCTAATTCTTGAGCAACTGGTAGTAGTATCTGACGATTTGGTGTTACCCATGCCTTTTTCTATGTGATTTTGGTCAAATTTATGTTTTCCTGGATCCTTTATGGATGAGGAAATCGGAAGGTGGTAGGTCTGGTGATGCATGAAGTTAGATCATGATCAATTAAGATTAGGTTTTGAAATATGAGTATGACAAGCTGTTATACTAACAAGAACCCGTAGTCTAATGATATAATGCACGTCATCACAAGGGTCATTTATGTACCATACTCAAATCCTACAAGTAGCCTATAACAGAGTATACGGAATGTAAGTCCAGCAAGACATGCACTATCACTAACTTAGAGGTGAAAATTGGAGATCATGCCCTTCCGCAAGTGACAAGGTTTAAGTATCTTGGTTGTATCATGCAAGATGATGGAGAAATAGAGGCAGACGCAAACCATAGGATTCAAGTTAGGTGGATGAAATGGAGAAATGCCCCAGGTGTTATTTGTAATTGAAAGGAACCTCTCAAGCTTAAAGGAAGATTTAACTGCACAAGCATAAGACCCATGATGCTGTATGGTATTGAATATTGGGCAATAAAGAGTCAACAAGAGGATAAGCTTAGTATTGTAGAGATTAGGATGTTGCAATGAATGTATTAGAGAGAAAGTAGGAGTATTATTGATGGGCCTTCAATAAAGTAACCAAGCCCATTAATTAGGAATTAGTATATATAGAAGTTTAGGGTGATATTTCTATTATGCATGTATTCAGAATTGGTTAGTGGGAATTTGAGAGACCTCTAGGGAACTCTTGAGCCTAGGTGTTTGGTTTGAGGGGAAGTTGAGGCTTTCTTGGGGTTTATTTTCTGCATATTAGTGTATGTAAAAGAGGCATGGCCTCCATTATCTCTATAATTTCAATGTAATTTTTCTGGTTCCATCAATTTGGTATCAGAGCATTTCCGATCTAGGGAGTGCTTTCTGGTCCAGATTCAAAAAAAAAAATAAAAAAAATTGAGCAACAGATCCAGATCTAATACAATGGTTCCAAAATTTTATGGAGAAGAAGATGGAATGAAAGCTTGGGGATGGTTGCTCGGGCTTGAACAACATTTTCAAGCAAACCAAATTCCAGAAGCTGATATGTTGAAAGAGGCTGTGAAGGGGTTGAGAGACGGTGCTCTCAGCTGGTACAAACGTTGGAGTGTGCTCAGTCCCAATGTAAATTGGCGGAGCTTTGATAGAGCGTTTATAGGAAGATATATACCTGAGATCTATATAGTAGAAGAAATTGATGTATCGGACAGCCCAGGAAAAAAAGAGGAAAAAGAAACAGAAAACCAAATCAAAGAAACGAAAAAAGAAGAAGAAAAAAGGAACGAAAGTGCAGATGCAGATCGAAGCATAGTAGTAGAAGAAGAAATCGAACTAGAAATAGAAAAAGTAACAAAGGTGGAAGAAAGAAAGGAAGAAGAGGAAGCAGCACAAGAAGATGAAGGAGATCAAGAGGAGGAAGTCCAAGTCAGATCTGGAAGAGGGATACGACGCGCAAACGGATCTGGTACAATCATGGAGACTACGCGACGAGCAGAACCAAAAAAACGAGAGGGGAAAAATAATGAAGAAAAACGAGCTGAAATCCGAGTAAATCGCGTGGAAAGCATGGAAGAGTCGATGTTGCTTGTGCAGATGGTCGAAGAGAAAGAAACGGTGGTGGGGAAGACGATGATGCATTTGGGCCGAAGTAGATCTAATGAGGGAGGGTTTGGTTCGGGTCAACACATGCGGGCTGCTCTCACGACCCGGTCCAACAACTTGGCTGAGGATTCAATGGGTGGGAGAGGGAACAGATTGCGAAATGGGCCTCAATCAAACATTAGGGGGCCCAACCCACACACCACTACCAGGGCAATTGGACAACAGAAGAACGTCAACTTAGGGGAATCTCAAGTCGTGAAAGAGGAAAGCCAAGGGTCTACACCGAAGACTCGTGTGGAAAACAGCGGCAACAATGACAAAGGCGGCACATCTTACAGGCGATGGACGACGGAGGAAATGCGTGCATTATGCAATATGGAATGGGTAAGCTTTCTTCGCGGGTTTGCGGCTGTTGAACCTTATGACACTGCATCTGCCAAACGATTTTACTGCACTTATGAAATTCTGGGAGAGCATATGATGAAGATGAATGGAGAGGAAGATGGGATTAAACTGTGGCGGAGTTTGGTAAGTCAGACAGAATTGACTGCTCAGTTGTGTTCAATCACTAGAGATGTATGGAATGTTCGTGGCAATACCCAGAAGAAGATTGAAGAGCTTAAACAGTCACATTCTGGTCTTCTTTGTGAGCTTATCTGTTTTGAAGATCCAATACTATCACTTCTTGCACCGGGTGTCCTCATTATTGGGGTTTTACCTTCAGAATCATCAATATCCGAAACTGCATTGCATCCTTTGCGCTTTACTTTGAGTACAGCAAATGGTGGAACTTGCAAAATCATTTATAAAAAAGGGGATAATCTTTGGCTGGACCAGTTCGTGATTCAAATGGTGTCACTAGTGGATTGCTGGCTTAAGTTAGAAAATCTTGTTCTGCACTCAACACCATACAAGGTGCTAGCAACTGGGCAAGATGAAGGCATGTTGGAACTCATTCCATCGCAGTTCAACCAATGGGATCCCGGTGGAAAAGTTTCTCAAACAGTGGAATTGAAATGGCCTTTGTGTTCAAAATGCTTCACACAATGGGACCCGGGTGGAAGTATCTATCATTTCTCTTCACCTTGAGGACAAGGTGAATTTTGGAGGGGGAGTATTGATGGGCCTTCAATAAAGTAACCAAGCCCATTAATTAGGAATTAGTATATATAGAAGTTTAGGGCGATATTTCTATTATGCATGTATTCAGAATTGGTTAGTGGGAATTTGAGAGACCTCTAGGGAACTCTTGAGCCTAGGTGTTTGGTTTGAGGGGAAGTTGAGGCTTTCTTGGGGTTTATTTTCTGCATATTAGTGTATGTAAAAGAGGCATGGCCTCCATTATCTCTATAATTTCAATGTTATTTTTCTGGTTCCATCAATTATCAATTGAGGAAAAGATGGTAGAATCTTGCCTAATGGGGTTTGGCCATGTGAGAAGAAGACCAATAGAAGCGTAAGTAAGAATAGTGGACCAAATGCAGGATAGCCCTATAGTTAAAGATAGGGGGAGACTGCAAAAGCTCTATTTAAAAAGGACTTTGATCTAAATTGATTTTGTGAGGATTTGGTTCATTACAGAACGCAATGGCATTGTTTGATGCATGTAGCGGGAAAAGGCTTTGGTTGTTGTTGTTGACGATTTGTGATCATGTGATATTAGGAACTCATAAGAATACCAATCCCAAGTTAGAAGTTAATGGTTTTGGTTGATTGTTTAAACAGTGTATCATAACTCGAGTGGTTGTGAGGCCCACTGTACTAAGGGGGAAGTTTGGGGTTTTACTTTAAATTGGACTAGGTATGCTTGTGCCATCTATGCAAGGGTGAAATTTTTTTTTTTTTTTTTTTTTTTTTTTCCTCTGATAGAAAGAATCTGTAAGATATGAAGCCAGTTGAAAAAATTAAAATTCAACATAGAAACAAAGTATGTTATACCGGGAAGGGCCTGAATAAAGGCTGTGGTTACTTCTATTACCATTGGTCCTTATTTGAATTATATTTTATGGGCACTTGATCGCCAATAAGAGTCGCATGCATGGAGGGATGGTGTTCATCACTTAAATTAGCTCATGCTCCTTGGCCTTTGATGACTTTGTTTCTCTGTAATTAAATTGTGTCTTTTATGGTTAAATGTGATACTGTAAGCCACTTGAGATGAGACTTATGGGTGCCTGTTGCGTAATGCATAGTACTTTTCAGTTTTGGGTCTGGAGTTACAAAACTTCGCTGGGAATTGTTGTAGTATCCCTTTTGCTCTCCATTAGCTCTGTAAGCATGCACGGTTTGTGTGGGTGTGTGGTGTTGGATTGGGGTGGTGAGAGAAGATGTTCAATTATTTGATTGTCTGGTAATTGTTGTAGTTAATCTGATATAGTTGGAGTAAAATGTCAAATTGAAGCTTATTGTTACTTGCTCTCTTTATTAACTGACTAACAAGTACTTGTTCACTCCCGCCAAAAAGGAAATAAAAATGTAGCAATTGCTTATAAACGTTCCTTTTCAGTTTCACCATTTGAAAATAAAAAATAAAAAAATCATCTTTTGGATATTTTCTAAATGCCAAGTGACTTTTAGCTTAAAAAATCACTTTAACCTGTAAAGATTAACGTAAACTTTTTTGTTTCCTCTCTCTACAGTTTCAGTGTTTTTACCCAACAACTCACATTATACTAATAGTAATGCCAAGACCGGGTTTGATCTTTTTGGTGTCTTCCATCAGCAGCTATGGAGCCAGAAACAAGGAATATATTAAAAAATGAAAGGGAGAGATAATTTGGCGTATTATTAATATCTGTTCTGAGTTAGCAGTAACCATGCTGTCATCCATGATCACATTTCAGATTTGAATTCACTCCCCACCCTTTCCCCTTCCCCTCCCCAAAAATACAAAAATTGAAAAAAAAAAAGCCTATGAACAGAGGTTGGTGGATTTGTAAGCAATTGGACTGTTTGGGGCTATATGCAAAGAATAAATTTTCTTGTCGTTTGGTTGTTGCTTAATTTTGTTTATGCAATTCTGGTCTTAATTTCCTCATTTGAAGTCTTTGACGGTTGATCTTATCATGATTTAAGCATTTATTTGATACTTTGACACATACTGGAAAAAGTCCGTATTTGCCAAAAAGGGAAAAAGAGAAATAACAAATATCTTTGTTGCAGTGCCACAATGGGCACACATTGTGTTCCACGTGTAAAACAAGGGTGCACAATCGGTGTCCCACTTGTAGACAAGAGCTTGGAGATATTAGGTGTCTGGCACTGGAGAAGGTGGCTGAATCACTTGAGTTACCTTGCAAGTACTACTCCCTTGGATGTCCAGAAATCTTTCCATACTACAGCAAGCTTAAGCACGAGACAGTATGCAATTTTAGACCATACAATTGTCCTTATGCCGGATCAGAGTGCTCTGTTGCTGGGGATATTCCCTTTCTTGTTGCACATTTGAGGGATGATCATAAGGTGGACATGCACACAGGATGCACATTCAACCATCGTTATGTGAAGTCAAATCCCCGTGAAGTAGAGAACGCAACTTGGATGCTCACTGTAAGTGTGTTAGATTTTTTTTATAGGTTATTATCACCCCCTGTCATATGTTCGCTGTGACATACACTACCATCACCTATTGCTCATCAAACTTGATGTCTATTGGGGGGAACAATCAAAAGTTGTGGGAATAAATAAGGGAATTGATGCTATGTGAAATCCTTTTAAATGCTTCTTTTTCACAAGTGATCTTTTTATTTATTCCCTATGTCCTCTCTTTCACTTTATTGTTTAAGTGTTGAAGAATGATTACAATGTAAAAAAGAACTATCCATTTAAGTGCAACTGTAGTCTGATTCTTATGTTTGCCAACTTATATTTTCTTTGGTAGGTATTTCATTGTTTTGGCCAATACTTCTGCCTTCACTTTGAAGCTTTCCAGCTTGGCATGGCTCCTGTTTACATGGCATTCCTTCGTTTTATGGGTGATGAGAATGAGGCTCGGAACTATAGCTATAGCCTTGAGGTTGGGGCAAATGGCAGGAAACTCATTTGGGAGGGCACACCGCGGAGTATTCGCGATAGCCACCGTAAAGTCAGGGATAGCCATGATGGTCTAATTATTCAACGAAATATGGCGCTATTTTTCTCTGGTGGGGATAGGAAAGAGCTGAAACTCAGAGTTACCGGAAGAATATGGAAAGAACAACAGAATCCAGATGCTGGGGTGTGCATACCAAATCTTTGCAGCTGATGTGATTTGGAGGGTATTTTTATTGCTTGTGTGTGGGGACACCACTGCTGTATCTATACACCAACTTTGTGTATGTTGTAATAGAGTAAGGCACTAAGATGGCTTTGAAATTTTCAGTTTTCTCAAGTTGTGTAAAAAACAAGATTTCCTTCCTTTAAAGTTGTGTTTGTCAATTTTGGTTTGTTCCAAATTTACGTTTTTTGATGCCCCACAAATGATGTTCACAGTCCATCGGTGTACAAATGCTATGTAAGTGGCTTCATCTCTCCTCGTCTTTTTATGTCATCTATGCCAATTACCAATGTCAATGTTCCTTCACTTGCAATTTAAGAAATCCCATTATAGTTTCCAATGAAATTATTTATTTTAGGTCAGTTACAAATTACACCCCTGCAATTGTTTTCATGTTTAATACACGAACTTTATTTTTGTGATACTCAAACCTCCTAGCTTTGGTTTAAAGTGGAAACCATCTATGGCACGAAAGATCACGTGAGAGCACGAAGCCATGGTTTCCCTCTTCTCGTTCACACAACTGATATTCTGTGGCGTTAGTGCACATTCGACTTGTTGATCTTTACAACAAGATAAGAAATTACGAGAGTCGAGGTCCTATGTGAAAATGATTTCGTGTGAAACGAGAGACGAAAGTCTTGCTAGAACAGTCTTGTTAGTTCTTAACAGTGAAAAGTTCATTTTATCACTTACACCCTTATGTTTTGTTTTAATCAATTACCTCCTATGATTTTTTTCAATCAAGTCCGCCTTTAACACTGTTAGCAATTGAGTTAAGTTGCCCATTTTATTCTTATGTAACTTTCCATGTTAGTATGTTAAAAGGGTTCTATTAATCTTCTGTTACTGCAGAGAAGTTTTCTGCAGCTGACACATGCTTAGGATACGGTTCAGTAAATAATTCTAGGATATGGAATTGTATCAGTAAATAATTCTAGGATATGGAATCGTATCCTGAAAAATATATGACTGCTACACGGAACAATGTTTTTATAGCGGCTAAGGAAATATATTTCCCTATGTTAAAAGTATCAAAGGAGCAAAAAGATTTCACTAAAAATATGAGCATATACACATTCACAAGTAAGCTTTACATATTATCACCTTTCTAACTTCGTTAAGTTCCAGACGAATATCTTCACAAATTAACTTATCAAACAATAAATCATTTTATCAAGACAGAAAATTTATTTTCTTTAAAAAGGTCATTCAGTTTAAACATTATAATATATGAACGTAGCCAGGAATTTCCATTGCTGTAGGTGGGGCACTAGTGAGATCTACTAACAAAAATTTTATCGTTGGATAAAACAATTTTGATATTTGGAATTTGTTTTATCGAAGAATTTTAGCTTGACAACTCATTCCATCACATGCATCATAAGATCATTAGACCAAGGTAATATTAGTTTCATCATTAATTGAAATACAGTTTAATAAAAAGAAAGAAGCTGTTGATACACAGTGGCGGATCCAGAAAATTAATGAAGGGTGGACACTCAATAAGTTCAAGTACATATAGATCTAGGTCTGATCTGGAACGTGACTTACGAGCAGTTGCCGACTGGTTGGGTCTAGTTTACATTTAGATTTGGAAGGATTGCGACTCAACTGGACCGATGATGGAGGACGAAGCAAATGTTCCAATTTCCAATAACGGAGATTGAGATTTGAGAGGAGATGAATCAGAATGTAGATGCAAATGATGGGTCTGGAATAGAGCTCTCTGTTGTTAGGTTTGGATAATGAAGGTGGAGGAGAAAAATAAAATAGAAGGAGGGAAATTAAAGGGGTAGGATATCGTAGCAAACAATTAAGGTTACTACCAATCAATTTCACCGTTAGATCGATTATGTTGATCCAACGGTTATATTTATTTCCATCTTTGTATGGTTATGATTCCCCATATTTAATACTTTATATTTATTTTCACCTTTGCATGGTTATGATTTCCCATATTTAATGATTTTACATTAAATATGGGGAATCATAATCATACAAAGATGGAAATAAATATAACCTTTGGATTAACATAATCGATCTAACTATGAAATTAATTGGTAGTAACCCTAATTGATTGTTACAATATCCTACCTCGAAATTAAATTGGAAAAACTTAAATTTTAAGATAAGGATATTTTTGTATTTTTATATCATATTTCAAAGGTAGGCACTTGCTCCCCTTCTCATGTATCTCAATCTGCCTCTGCTAATACATACATGTACCCGAATTTGCCTTCACAAACTCAGATTTGCGAAGAAGCCCAACAGCTTGAGTTCATATCATGGTTTTTAAACAACATTTAATTAAAATGTGTGGAGAGATTAAGTTGTAACACTAAAAATTAAATATATCTTTTCATCAAACTTTTTGAAAATATTAAACAAATGTCATCACACTTCAGCTATCCTCAGCATCTGCTAGGCAATCATACCATGCTAAAAGTTTCTATTCAAATCCTTAGGTCCAATAATCTTCATATCATAAAAAAGTAAATAAATAAGGAGATACACAAAATTTTGGAATTGAAGTACAAACAAATGATGCTCAGAGTATCATGCAAACAGAAGACAATATCAAATATCTCTCTTAATTTCTGTTTTGAGGCTTAACTGAAGATGTACCATTATTGTCCAGTGTCTAGCAGGGATGGTTAGAAAAATATCAAGGGAAAACAAGGAGCATGTAGGTGTAATCAGAGAGATGTTTAACAGGAGTTTGATTGTGAATATATAGAAACAGTTAGTAATAAATTAATCCCTGGTATAAAAAAGGAAATCAATGTAAAATCCCACAATTCTTTATTTGGTAATACTTATCATAAAAGTTACTTCTAGAACAAGGGTAAAATGGGCAAGTTAACTCAATTGCTAACAGTATTAAAAGTGGACTTAGATGGGAAAAAACCCATAGAGAGTAATTGATAAGAAAAAAAGTATAGGAATATAAATGATAAAAGAGTAAACCACATAAGGATTTATGAACTTTTCCCTTCTTCATAATGCTGAAATGTCTATATATATATTGAAAGTTTTGCTCGGCATAACATGGCTAAGTTTGAAATTGATGTCACCACTAGCATGAAAGAGTTTGTCAACAGTTGATAAGTCTGTCCTATCCCCACCAGAGAAAAATAGCGCCATATTTCTTATCTAAAAAGTGTCTTCAAGTTTTGGCTATTTATATAATCGAGAGATTGATGGAAATCAACGGTTAAGATTTGATGTCAAATTTAATATATATTAGTGGTGTTTGCGATCTAGATTGGATCAATTTTGAAGTAAAAATCATCTAATCTCAACCCTTCGATTTAATCATTTAATCATCTATTCGATTTGAATTTTTTTTAAGTCTGATCCAAAAAATTTGGATAAGATTTATGGTTTTTCAAAAAGCTTAAAATTTTAGCCATACAAATTATTAGCTAATCAAAATAAAGTCATTGAAAGTTACAAACCACTTAAAAATTTAAGTTTTCAAACTGAAATAGGTCTTCAAACTCATGAAGAATTAAAATGAATTAATAGACAACAAAAAAATCTAAAACAAGATAGTTTGCTATCAATAACATTCAAGATTCCAAGTCATCATTTTTAAAAAATAATAAATATATAATACATTGGATCTGTTTTCACCAACCAAATCGAAAACCGATCCAATCCAATTAAAATATGTGGGTTTTTTTTTTTTTTTTTGATTTTCGATTAATTCGGTTATCGATTTTTCGGTTCGGTCACTGCGATTTTAATCGATTTGGATCGGTTGATGAACACCCCTAATATATATATATATATATATATATATATATATATATATATATATATATATATATATATAGAGAGAGAAATATTTCTCAAGCTGTTTGAGAATATTTATCTTCGGTTACCTTAATACTACGTCGTTTTGTTTATTTATTTTCTTATATTAATTGATTCACCTTTGAATGGTTATAATTTCTTTTTTCTCTCTCTTCCTTTATCACTATTTATTCCTCTTTGTACGATTATGATTTAGTAGCCGGAAATAAAATTATCTTAAACAGTTTGAGAAACTATATATGGGGTAAATATTTCTGCAACCACTATAGATAAGCTTATCTAAAGTTATCCTTTATAACTATGTTTTTCCGGGAGAACATAGTTATAACATTAAAAGTTACTTTTTTTCTCTCTCCTCATTTAATTTTCAAAACATGTCTGCTGACGTGGAGAGAGAGAAAAGCAACTTTAATGTTATAACTATGTTCTCCCGAGAGAACATAGTTAACAATGAATGGCTGTAGAAATATTTTTCCACCGTATATATATATATATATATATATATATATATATATATATATATATATATATATGTTTTCTTACAAAAATCAAAAATCCTTTTCAGCCCTACGGTTTATAAAATCGGGCTAAAAGTTGTCCTAAAACAAAGCATAAAAAGATGATCATATGGTGGTAACAGCCGTTTTTGATTGAAGAGAACTTCAAATTCACCGACTTCGTTTCCCCGTCCATCTGGCTCGTTATAAATATCACATGTGGCAGCTCAAATTGCAATTCTCAAGACACAACGTTGAAAACTTATACTAGTGCAGAATTCTGTAATAAAAACACCATGTGTTCCTCGTGCTTCTTAAAATTAGCACTCTGCATATCTCTCTAGCTGTCTCACTTTCTTCTGTCTCTACCCTGTATAAGCATAACGTATCGTAAACCCAAGTTCTATCCTACCTGCTTGTTGCTAGATTAACAGGTCAGTCTCTCTCTCTCTCTCTCTCTCTCGTGTACTGTCATTCAGGTCATAAACGATGTTGGGTTGGTGTTTGTTCATTTTTTCCGCTTTCTGTTCAATAGAAGTTCTGTTGGGTTCCGGAAAAAAAGAAGAAGGGGAGGAAAAGTAGAAAGTAAAATGTTGTGTGCTTTTCATCTCTTCCCTGCATCTTCCTTGTTCCATATTCCTTGTCTGGTGGGTTATAAGTACGTAGTATACTTTGTTATAGAAGACGGTAGGTGATATTAAATCACTAAGAGGTTTGAACCCATGAATAAACCAGAAGGGAGTAGATGATCAAAATTATCACTGTGCAATTAAAAATATTAATAGGAATAAAATCCGAGCTCACAGAACGTGTCTCCTTAGGACAATTTGCCCCCTCACTGATGCCAAAGGTTGATGGACACTTGTCTCCCAGGATAGAACGTATTTCGTCTTTCGTCTGAAGAATGATGGCACTACCAATTAACAGCCCAAACGAACACAACTGAATGCCAGAGGAAACTACACCGGAGTATGAAAAGAAACATGCAAAACCGGAAGGAGAAAAATTCCGGCAGAGTTTCAGTGCAGAAAAATTGGATCCATTTTCTGAAGGTGTCAGTGTCTATTTATAGACAACGTAAAGTCACATTTCAAAAGGCACATATTCGACGACGAAACAACACATCCGTTGGACACGAAAAGACACCCCTTCAAGGATGAAACAACACGTCCATTCGGATGAAACAACACATCCTTTCGGATGAAAAGATACATCTGTTTGTCGACGAAAAGACACACCCTTTCACTACCAAACTTCTTATTCATAACCAATATATTGTCTACACAATTTATATAAATAAATAATATATATATATATATATATATATATATATATATATATATATATATAAATTCCAACATACTTAACTGTTAATTTTACCTTTTTTTTTTTTTTTTTTTGGAAATCTCTGGGTTTTTTAAATCTAGGCAAATCATTAACGGCTAATGTTTTTTCCGTTGTCAATATGAAGCGATCACTAAGCAAGATATGATATTTACATTTTAACTATGGAATTTATTAATCTCCTTCAGTAGAAGATAACTTACCTCATGCATAGAAACAAGTTATGTGGGTCCCATCACTTTTTAAAATAAAAAAAAAATAAAAAAAAGAATGACACAACTTTTTATGTCTCACCAACATGAGATAGTTGTCTTCTATAAAAGGAGATAATTTAAACCCTTTAACTATACATTGAAAATTTGAACTGAACTTTTTTGTTTGGTAATAATGTACATGATAACATTGGCTCAGCCACCCTAGAGTATTGTGGTTTTATCACTAAATGAGTGTATATATTCAGTGTTATTAAAATCGGCTGGGTCGGTCTGATCGGTTGAATTAGGAACTCAATCCCTAATCATTTCAGTTCAGTCAATTAACTGCCTATCCTATTAAAAATGGTGAATTGCAGGTCAAAAATTGGGTTCAAACGATACTAAGCCGGTACTGGTTTTTTTGGTTGAATCGATTTTTGAGAATTGTAGCAAAATATTTTGTATTCTTAAAATTTGAACTCGACACCCATCTAAAGAAAGAGGAGTGACATGCTAATCAATAAGTTAAATTATTTTGATTATCATATTATTTTTGTGGGATAGGTTATTTTATCTATTATTATTTTTTGTCTACTTTGCTTATTACTCTCCAATACCATTAGATTAGAGAGAAAAATAAATGTTAATTAAGATCCCAATCTAACAGTGTTAGAGAATGGTAGACAAAAATGGACAGAAAAAAGATAGATTAAATAACTTATTCTTATTTTTATTTATATATTTATTATATATGTTTATATAAAATTAATTTAAGCATCAAATCAATAACTCATTAATCCGGTACCTCCACCATTCGATCAATAGTTTGAATTTAATAATATTGGTGTAGATACGCATTCAAAATCAAGGAATTAAAATAATGAGGACTCTTTTTGGTCTAGTGGGGTACTCTTTTTGGTCTGAGATTTTTTTTTTATATATAATTACTAATTATATAACGGGCTGGGGAGGACAGATCTGCTCAACTTTGTGTGTTATGTGTTATTAGCACTTTATATAGAAAAATATTTAAAATTACTACCCCTAATAATTAAATTTTTTAAAATTTATCTTGTTCTTTATTTGTTTTATTTTGTCTCGTTTTATTATATTTTTATATGTTCTTTTAATCTCCCTATCAGTGTTTTAAAATTTTGCCCCACCCTGGAGTCGACTCTACCGAGTCACTGACACCCCTCTCTTTGAGAGTTGGGGTCAGCAGTTAGATCTTATATGCATGTTGATCCTTTTGATCCCCGAAACCCTTTGATTGAACCCGTGATTCCTGGGTCAGAGGGATCAGATGGGATTGTGGGTAAAAAAAAAAAAAAACTCGCTACTGCCTAGATTTAGAACTAGATTTGAAATATGAATCATTCTTCTTTTTCTCTTTTTATCTTCTTTCCCAGACCCAGACTCAGTCTCCTTGATCTGATGATCTCCTCCATCGTGATAGTGGTTTCTCCTATCCTCTTCGGTCTTCTCTCTCCCCCTCCCCCTTCGTGGTCTTCTCACTTCACTGTTGATTCATCGCGACACCACCTCTCCTCCGTCATTCTCTCTTGGGTAAATGGATCTCCTTTACATGCTCTTGTAGGTGTATGAAAAGGATAAGGAGGGTCTAGGTTTAAAGATATAAATTTTCATTAACTACATTGAAATATGTGTTTTATATTTTGATACTTTGATTAGCTTGTATAATATTGACTTGTGGATGTAATTGCTTGAATTATATTAAGTATATTTTGAATCTTTAATATTTGGTGGTTTGATTTTTTTGAATTTTTTATATAGAATATATATTTATATTTTTTTAATGTATACATCCGGATCAGTAAAGTGATCCCGTGACATTTCAGTTGAATCCGTGACCTATCTCAACTGAGTCGATGGCCGGATCAAATTTTTAAACACTACCCACACCATTATTGGGTGCGTAAGCCATTATATTATATGATATGTCTTCCTTTCCTTATAAAAGAACATCAAACGGTTTTAAACCTGCTATTATGATATTTGATATTCGCCAAGTTAGTACCTGTACGGTTGGTAGGCGATAAAGGTGGCAACTAGGAGTGAAAGTGGGCTGGGCTGGACTAAGCTTTGTCTCGAAAAGTTCAAGTCTATGTCAAAACATTTTGGCCTGGCCCAAGCCTAGTACGAGTCTAACTGTTAGCCTGGCTTGACCCATTTATAAAAAAACACAAATGGCCTGACATGGCCTAACCCGTTAGCCTGTTAATTTTTAACTTTGAAACAGAACCATGAATCAACTTTACAAAATACTCAAATTCTATTGCTAAACCAAAAATCATAATTTCAACGTCCAAACAGAATAATGAATCACAACAAAACTCGTACAATCTGCATTTAAGTCTATTTCAAAAGCAAAATGCTCAAACTAAATAACATATATTTCATCGAATCCAACAAACAAATCCATACTATATAACTTAAAATAACTACATAAATCCAACAAACACATCATGATGCTTGTAGTAAGTATAACATCTTCCAAAAATATTTTAATATATTCATAGACACAATCTAACATGATGAGATGTTGGTTCCTCCTACCTAAAAATTAAAGTCAGATTTCTATTAAAATATAATCGAATATAATTAAGTTATAAATAATTGCAATAGATTAAATTTATATCTTTTGTTTTGTCTTCAAGTCATAGTTATTCTATTCTATTTTATTTAAAATAAATAGTACAATATAGGTCGGCCTGTAGGCTAATTATAGGCTAGGCTTTGTGAAAGTGAGCCTACGGTCTTTTTATTAAACAAGCTTTTTCAAGGCCCAAGTCCAGCCTATTTTACGAAATATACTAGGTCAGGTCTGACCTGACGTAGGCCGTGCCGAAGACCCCTATAACCGGCCGGGCCTAGTTTCAGCGCTAGTGGCAACACTCATGAACGCAGTATGATTGGGTACATAATTAGGCCATCGTTTGTTTTTTTTGATTAGGACTATGATTCCTATTTTTTTATTTTTTTATTTGCATTGACCATACATGACTGTATTCCCATCTTGTTATGAATTTGATTGTTTTTCATGTCCTCGTCATTTGTAAAATAATATTTACACACTTGATGTGCAATGTAAAGGAGTGCATTTCACCGTGTGAAAAACTCCTTTTTTTTCCCCCTTCTATGTTGCTTCCTATTATTATTATTTTTATTTGTATATTGAGCATATTTGAAGACATGGAATTTATTTTTTTAAATAAAAGGGGAAAAAAAAATACTGTCCATACAATTAGAACATGCATGTAGTATACAGGACCATAGCGTTTAGGACTTTTCCGGAGTATGTAAGGAGAAAGTAGTATTTTGTGGCTCTCCTTTGACCTTATTTGCAAAAGGAAGGTCTAAGTGCACAAAGCTTCTATCTTTGTGGATCAGATTAGATTAGATGGAGCATTAATGTTTTTTTGTTTGAGATTTTTGTCAAGGTCATGGGGCGTTACGCACTCTCAAAGCACTTTCGTAAAGTGTCTTTTAGACACCCGGTCACGTTTGTGGGGCAGGTAGAACAATAATTTTTCTTTTTCTTTATATTTTGAAAAATAAAATAAAAAAATTGATTCAAGGGGTATATACTTAAATTCGTTTAAGCAAGATTTTCTATTCAAATTTTTGTGAATGCGAAAATTTATCTTTAGAAGAGTTAGCTCTACCATAATGTAAATGTTATCGACTAGAACAGGATTGCATCCTTGTGAATGTAAACCCGTCTCAAATAGGATTTTCTCCGTAAAGATAAAAGATATACGTCGATTATCCACACACACACAAAAAAAAAAAAAAAAATTAACGGTCTCAGCTGAACTTGCAAATATGTATATTATAAGTCTTTACATATTTTTTATAAGTCACGGGGGATCATGCGCAAAGGTCGGTGGCCAATTGAATGTAAAGTTTGTTATCCCTATTTATTCTCGCTTTCCGTAAGTATTCCGTTATCTTGTGCAGTTATTTCATGTGCTAATCAATTTGTAAGCAAAAGCTTTTCATGTTAATTAACCAGTACTCCTAAGTTTTTTACATCAAGTGAGAGTCAGCAATTTAAATTGAAACAGTTATAAATGCTACGTTAATTAGTTTCTAGAAGAAAAATGAATGGTTAGGCATGAAACAACTGTTTACAATATAACAACATGCATGAGAGATCTGGCTTATAGTTTACATTCATTTGAATTTGCAGCATATATATATATATATACTTGTAACCGGTAAGACTCTGGAACTTTTAACTGGGATAACTAAGATGGTTTGCCATTGAGAATTGGTATATTCTTGCAGATATTCAAAATACGATCAGTTTTTCATATTGTGGCTTCATTGGAATGTGAATTAATTCGGTTGTCAAGTAAATGGAAAGTGAATCTCGTTGTTCTTTATATATATAATGGGATGCTCCTATTCAAAGAAAGCTAAGTCACCCGGTTACGTGGAGGTGGAACCTGCTACTCTTGCTGCTGGGACACCATGTGAGTATCTATCGTTAATTTGATAAATTCTTAGGCTTTATAGCTTGAATTTTTGCTTTGCCTTGTCGATCGTATATGGTCCTTCTTGCAACCGTGTTTCCTTGTAATTTGTATTCAACCACCTATCCCATCCTCTTATGCCATTCTTGATGGAATGAATATATCTTCTTATGTTAGGGAAACAGTATTTGATAATTTATTGAGTTTTTATTAAAGATGGGTGAATGACAGCCGCAATTCAACTTGGAGATTAGGGAGGGTTTTTTTCATATGCTATTTTAATAGATAGGTATTAGGTACAACTCAATTAATATCATATGATAATTTAAATTCGGTTAATGGTCTCTTTACAAATATGCAATACGGACTCGCAATCAAAGTTTAATAAGGAGTGGGTGTTAGTGTTCTATAATGATTTATGGGTACTTGATTGCTTACATGTGGAATAAGAACCGTTTATGATTTTAGGACCCAATTTTTATTATTGTGTACTATGGATTTAAGGTTTTTCCTTTTGGTATACAAAATTTGGGTATTTTTAATGTTGTTGAAATTAGAACCAGTTACCATTGGGCCTTTGTAGATCAAGTATTAAGCTTTTGAGTGACACAAAACTTGCAATGGATCGTGCCCTTTATATAGAAAATTTCATTTTAGAAGTTTTAGTTTTAAACCTGGCTAGATTGTTGGGATATTAAGCGACTGAATAAAATAAAATTGTATCTTTCTTCCTCTGTTTACAGTTACTGTGGGTGAAGTAGAGGCCTTACATGAGCTCTATAAGAAGTTGAGCAATTCAGTTATTGAAGATGGTCTTATTCACAAGGTGAGGTATCGTTTCAGATTAATGTGACTTCCCTAACTTTGATCCTTTATTCTCCATTAAATAATTAACCTTTTAGATCATATACTCGTCCAGGAAGAATTTCAGCTGGCACTCTTCAGGAACAAAAGCATGAATAATCTGTTCGCAGACAGGGTTTGTTAATCTGACCCATCTTTGAAATTTAGGATTGTTTAATCTTGTTCAGGTTCTTGGAGACTGATAATTTATCTGAAGCTGTTATGGATGTCGTTTTCCATAATCTTTATTTAGTTGATATGTCATCTTTTAGGCATTAAAAAAATCATAAAATCACTTTCTTTTGACATGTCAAAATACTTATTTCACACTTGTAATACTATCTTGTACTAACGCATATTCATATTTGTGCCTCATTTATAGATTTTTGATTTATTTGATGTCAAGCGCAATGGGGTCATTGAGTTCGGCGAATTTGTTCGATCATTGGGTATTTTTCACCCAAATTCACCGGTAGAAGACAAGATTAATTGTAAGATTAATTAATTCTCCCACGTACAGATTTCATGTTAATTTTTTATTTTCAGTTTCCTTTATTAAGACGTCTATCTGCGAGAATTATATGCATTCATTATTTATATTTGACTGCACAGATAGTTATGAGTCACCTACCAGATGCTTTGTCTTAATTTTATTAAATTGGGTATAATGATCTTGCAGTTACTTTTAGGTTGTATGATCTGAGGCAAACTGGGTATATTGAACGAGAGGAGGTATGGTTTTCTTCAAACTTCTTTGTCAAATAACAATTACGAGAGTTTGATTTTGATCTAGTGTCATTGTAAACTTTAACATGGCAAAGTTCTTCCTATCAAGTTTTAATACAGCTGAGTTATGAGAGACTCGAACTCGAAATTACTAGTTAAGCTGGAACAATTCCTTAACAGTTGATTCACGTGCTTGGCAATTAACGTAATGAAATCTTATCATATATTGGCACGTAAACTCGGCTAATCATTAATTGTTGAAATGTATGACTGGACAAAAGTGTTATAAAAATATTACTTAGGATATACATCAAAATTAAATTAATGTTATGAACAATTTTAGTTATTAATTGGTACTTCCATTTCTACGTGTGTACTATTCTTAAGAGTAATGGTTTACCTGCAGTTAAAGGAGATGGTACTAGCACTTCTGCACGAGTCAGATCTTGTACTTTCAGATGAAGTTATTGAAATCATTGTGGATAAGGTTCATAAAATTTTACCTTGTTAAAAATTTCAGAGCTCCGTTAAAATTAGTGTTCCTAAAGTTTCATAGCTTCTTCCGCAGACTTTTAGTGATGCTGATACAAAAGGTGATGGTAGGATCGATCAAGAAGAATGGAAAGCATTTGTGGTTGAACATCCATCCTTGATAAAGAACATGACTCTACCATATTTAAAGTGGGTGAACATTTTTCTCAATAAATACGATTTCCTATTACATCATTGGTTCACTTGTGATACAAACACGACACTTTTGATGAGTGGGCTTCTTTTAATGGATGTACCCTCCCGATTTTGCAGGGATACAACCTTGGCATTTCCCAGTTTTTTGTAAGAACAGAAACCCAAGACTCAAGAGGTGTGAGGTTTTGGTTTCACTGAGGATGCTGTCTTTGATTTCATCTCCTGAGATGGATACTAAGCATCACCTTAATTTCTCATGGTCCAAAGAAAATCTGCTACACTGGGTTCTACGGTCGCTCAGCCTGTCATCCATCAACTGAGAGTTTTCCTCTACTAGCTGAATGAATCTATGTTGTTATCTACTATCTAGGACTATGAATGGTGGCTGTGATTTTTTATTCTAATGCAAAGCTTGTACAGTTATACTGTATGTACGAGAGGTGTAATTAGACCACGTGGATTATGTGGTATCAGAATTTTATAGTATTGAAAAGGAGGGTTGGTTCATTATGTGGTCCGCGACCAAACTTTACAACCACAATTTTGATGAATTATTCACAAATTATTCTTAAATATAAGAATCTATCAATTTAATATTTAATATTTTTAATCACTTAAATTATTAATAAATTATTTCCGTCAATAAATACCTTTTTGTACTGTCAATGTATTAATAACTTCTTTAACTAAAAAATTATAATTGGTATTAAATATATTAACAATGAATCATGTTTATGTCATGAATCTTATCCAAATCTCATATTTCTTTCACATAATAAAATTCCCTTAAAATTGAAAGTAAATTTATTTTATGATAAAATGTTACCAATCTGACTCCTACATCTAACTTTGTAAACTTTTGAATAATAAAGAACTTTATCTATATATTAATACTATTAGTAACTATGAAATTTAATTATATAAAAAAAATTCACTACTAATTATTAATTTTGGGAATAATTAATATCTTTTTATTAACAATTATCTATATATAAGAACGCTTGAGCTATACTTATTATGTAATTTGCATAAGAAAGTTGGCAAAAAATAAAAACCAATTAAAACACGTTACAAAAATAAAATTATCTTTCTTTGACTTAGCAAGCAATTATTGTTCTGGAAATTTTACCTTTTAAATGTTAAAAATGTAACTTAGTATTGCTATTGGCACACATATTTATTATTTACGTCTTGAAGAAGTAAATTAAAATGGTAACGTCTATTTTAAGTGTGATTAATACTTAATACTCAGCTTAAGTCATGAATTTCCACCACCTAATAAGCCCTATAAATAGCTGGCATTTCAGATTTATCACATAAAACAATTGGAATGTAATATAATTATCTCAGAGTATAATTTTCTCACTTTTTATGTAGTTATTATTGATAAGTTATTGCGGTAAGTTCAATATTATATTATTTTAGAACGAAAATTATGATATTTTTATAATTTTAATTTGTTTTAAAATTATTATAATTTTTTAATATTTTAATTCTAAAATGACGCGAGTAAATGTAGATACACAGAGAAATATTTTTTCGATTTTCTTAACACAACAATAGTGAGTCATGTCTTTCCTGGAAAATTGGGAAGCTAGGAAAATGACCGATTCTGAGAAACCTGCGAACAAGAATTTCTGATCACTTCAGCAATGGCGCTAAATTCATTTATCAGCTTCTTCGTAACTGAATTTCTTCTTCCACTGTGTTGTGTAAGCTGATCGTTCACTTTGATTCTTTCCTTTTTCAGATTTTTGCTGATCTTCTTTTCTTTTAATGCTCATTTTATGGATTGTCAATTGTCGGCGTCGCTTGTTTGGCTAGCTTCAAATAGGAGTGAGATTTATGGATTTTTTGTGTTTAAATCTTGTTGCATTGATTGAGATGATTTATTCGTTGACGCGCCGTGAGAAATTCAATTCATTTTTGTTTGATGTTTTTGTTTTAGGATTTACGATTCTCATTTTGATTCTCTCAGCAAGTATAGAAGTTTGAAATTTTCTGTATTTCGCTATTTGAACTTTACTCTTTTGCTGTGGTTATTTAGTAAAAAAAAAAAAAATCAAAAAAAGAGGAAAATGAGGAAAGCAGAAATTCTCGTTGTTTTTTATTTTTATTTTTTATTTTTTATTTTAAAATTGAGTCGGCTTTCATGTGAAACTAGAGACAATTTGCACTGTGCAGGAAAAAGGAACTATAAAATAGATATTTTATGCTTCTATTTCTTCTTTAATGCTTGTGTTCAGGCACGGGCTGGTTTTATTATAAGAGTAAAAGGCAATAAAAGTAAATTAAGAGAAGGACTAAAAAGAAATTTTCAGGTTGCCTCTTTTGTGATTCCCTATTAAATCCCTGATTAGAACGTTTGCGTTCTACTACTGATTATATAGTTCATAGCTTGTTCATTTTTGAGCTAGCAAGGTTTTGAACCTCTAAATTGACAATGGCTAGTGTGGCGCTTTGTCCAGTGTATGAAGAGTATTCTAACAACCATGTTGAATTTTCCAGCTGCAATATTCCTCATTTGAGGGACTCAATTTTGATTTACATGACTCTTGGTGGATCTGTGATTCCCATGCATATTATGTAGACAGATTCAATTGCTTCTGTGAAGCTGAGAATTCAAACGTGCAAAGGATTTTTTGTGAAGAAACAAAAACAAGTTTTTGAAGGGAAGGAATAGACCCACAACAAATCTTGTGTCCGCGATTATGGTGTAGCAGATGAGAATGTGCTGCACTTGGTGCTAAGGCTTTATGATCTTCAAGCAATTACTGTTACAACTACATGTGGAAAGGAGTTCAGGTTTTATGTTGAGAAGAATAGGAGTGTGGGTTATGTGAAGCAGCATATTGCAAGGAAAGGGAAAGGTTTTGTGGACCTCAAGAATCAAGAACTGATATTTGATGGCGAGGCACTTGAAGACCATAAACTCACTGAGGAGATCTGTAAGGACAAAGATACTGTCATTCATCTTTTGGTCAGAATATCAGATGCCAAGGTAAGGTCTAAACCGATTGAGAAAGATGTTGAATTATCAATTGAGGCATCATACACACACAATACGGTAGGAAATTTAGGTGCAGACAAGTTGGGGCCAGTGTTTTTAACAAAAAAGGTTCTGGAGAGGAAGCAATTGATCAGAGATTTTCTGTTGGAACCGATTCTTGTGAACTCCACTATCAGAGTCCCGCTAGTGATCCAGGAGCTTATTAAAACCACTTCTCAGGGTTAGAGAGAGGCAATAAACCAATTCAATCTTCAAAGGGTACAAGAGGTACTTATTTCATGCAAGATTCATCTGGTTTAAAGTATGTTTTTGTTTTCAAGCCTATTGATGAGGAGCCAATGGCAATTAACAATCCTCGAGGCTTACCTGTTTCGGTGAATGGCGAAGGGTTAAAGAAAAGGGGCAAGGTGCATTGAGAGAAGTTGCAGCTTACATTTTGGATCATCCTAGGAAAGGAGCTCGCTTTTATCATGACAATGAGGAGCAGCGATTTGCTGGAGTGCCTCCAACGATCCTGGTCAAATGCTTGTACAAGGGATTCCATCGTCCTGAAGGTTGTAAGTATTATTCAAGAAATGTTAAAATAGGGTCGCTTCAGATGTTTGTGAGAAATATTGGAAGTTTGTGAAGACATCGGACCTCATGCATTTCCGGTGGAAGAGGTGCACAAGATCTCTGTGTTGGATATCAGGTTGGCAAATGCAGAAGGAATGCTGGGAACATTTTAGTTACAAAGGATGGTGAAGATGGTACAATTATACTTACTCCAATTGATCATGGCTATTGCCTGAGAACTTAAGTTCTTGAACACACTAAATTTATGCATTCTCTTTTTATATTTTGTATTTTAATACGGAATTTGCTTTCTCCTTTATTGAAGTTTCTGTGATCCTGATTTCTCAAATTAGCCCCGTCTCTTTTCCAATTTTTTATGACTAGATTAACTGGTTTTGGTAGAAGTAAGAAACCATTTTTTTGTGGTAATGTTCAATCTATGCCACACTTTGGTGCATTTGGTTGGAATGTAACTCACATCTTTAAGGAGATTTCTTTGGATGAGCGGAAACTTTGGGATAACATTAGGTGACCAGCTTCTACAAGTGTGAAACACATGGTCTTTTTAAAGGGGTTGCCCTCACATTATGTTGAGGGACTTGGTAGCTTTGCCTCACTAATGTTTTCTTGGTTCTCTGTTGTTTTTCTCTGTTTTAAGGAGGATCTCTTAGTCTCGTCACTACTTGGAATCATATCATCTTCTCGTAGTCATAATGAATTTCTTCTTCTATCAAAAAATAAATATATGAATATATGCTTATGATGTTGTCTTATCATCCTTGAGCCAGTTTACAATTGCAAATGGTTTTTTAAGGTTGAGACTGGACGTAGGTAGTTAACTAGCTTGGGAAGGGTTTTAAAATTGAACCAACGTTACTACAATCTCTTTCACTTTTGTTAATCCTATTCTTTAAAAATTTAAAATTTTGGCTAAGCTTCTTTTCCTTAATTTTTTTCCCCTTTTTGTAGTTTGATGACTGCACTACTTTCGATTGGTTATATTGGCCACAAGCTCAGGACTCAGGAGTCTTACTCCCCTGACATCATTGACTACATAAAATCTCTGGATCCTGAAGAAGATATTAAGCTTTTGAAATTTTATGGATGGCACCTAAATTCCTCCTGAATGTGCCTGCATCCTTCGAATATCAACCATGCTTCTCAAGAAAGGTGCAGGGAGAGGACTTACTCCTTTTGCTATCGGAAGCCTCATGTGTAGGGAAAAATTGGAGAAAAATTCTGTCATTGAGCAGATTATTCAGGAAGCTGAGGAAGCTACAGTTACAGGAACAAGTGAAGCTAGATTTCTTGATCTTGTTTCATTGTTCATGGATATTCGTTTAGAAGTGCTATTCCCATGAGTAAATATACACCTGGTTCACATAATTACGTTACTGTTGATAAGATACATGATGCTGCTCCATTGGTCGTTATAGTGGATTCCTCAACCTCGTTTTGTGTACTGTGGTTAGAACTTGTGTCCTACGCTCGTTAACTATATAAGTACTGCATGCATGTGTTGCAATATTGTTGGAGATATTGATATAAAATTATTAATATGATAATCACTAATCAATTTAAGTTATTTGATTGAATTGGTTTCATTATATGGTAATAGTGTTCAAATCTTATTGCCCCCATTTTCTAATAAAATTAAAGAGGTAAGTTTAAGGCTAAGGGTTCTTATATGAGTAGATGTGTTAAAGATTTTAATATAAAATCATTGAGGAAGGTTATATTTATAACATATTTTCATTTATAACCTTTTACAATCATATCTTAACTATTGATTTTCGCCAATCGATGGTTATTATTTATTGTGAATTAATAATTAATTAATGAGTTTGATTTGTAAAAATAATAAACGTTGATTGACGGAAATTAACGGTTAAGATATGGTTATAAGAGGTTGTAAGTATAATCT